GTTCTCCAAGGTTGCCATCTGCGAGGCGTTCATCCAAGCTGTACAAGAGAAGTGGAAAACGTCCCCTCCGACTTGGTTTGGTGAGGAGCCTATCACTTTTTGCGGTGTTGAAATTGTGCTAACTGGGCGTGGTTATCGGCTGGCTCAAACTTCCTATTTGAAGGAACTCTTGATTCGGTACGGGGTCGAGGGCACTGCTACCGTGCCTGTGACCAAGTGGACTGAGCCTGAGCTCCCTGCTCACGTTGAACTTGAAGATGTTCGGGCAGCGCAAGGAATTACAGGTGCACTATTGTGGATTGCAACGCGGTCCAGACCAGACGTATCCTTTGCGGTGTCGAAGATGGGCCAGATGGCCACGAAGGCACCAAAGGTCTCCATCGAGCTGGGGATGCAAGTCTTGGCGTATTTAAGTTCGACCTCTCTGCTGGGGATAGAGTACTTGTTCGACGCGGGTTCATACTTCTCTGACCATGGGGGCTTGAGTGTACCGAGAACTGATCATGTGTTGGAAATTTACTCTGATGCCTCGCACTCCCCAGCAGGGGATCGCTCCACTCAGTGCGTGATCATCATGTGGCGCGGTTCGCCACTGGTGTGGGAATCAACGCGCCAACCGTTCACTACTCTTAGTAGTGCAGAGGCAGAGCTGGTTTCGATGGTTCACAGCGTGACGCTCACTGAATCTCTCCAACCCTTAGTGGATGAAATGGTAGGTGGGGACACGTCTATGGCACTTCTAGGCGACAACGCCGCAGCGATCAGATCCTTCGACCTGGCCGGAAACGGCTGGCGTAATCGCCACTTAAGGATGAGGGCGATCTCATGCAGAGAGCGCGTGCTTGCTGGACTTCTGCGTGTCTCTCATTTACCTGGTTCTTACCAGGTGGCGGACATTGGAACCAAGGCGCTCTCGCGAGTTCGTCTGATGCAATTACTTGAACTACTGAACATCCGAGGGCCGATTGATGTGCGTGAAATCGTGAGTACGGCGCGCATGCTAAGCCGTTTGTCCTTGACGGGAATTGCTTCTGTTCCCTTGACTGCGGAGGCGTTAGCGGGGCTGGCGCTTATAGCAGCATTGCCACGTGTACGGGCTCAACCAGGTGATTCGGACATAGGAGTCGGTTCAGGGTTGTACTCTTGGGCTGTGGGGGTCTGTACCTTACTCTTTGGTCTATTTGGGATAGTCCTTTGGAGGTTCACCTGTGATCAGGGGGTGCAGGGCCCGGGGGAGCAGATTGCATCACCGGAGGAGGATTGTGAGGGTGATTCGGTTCCTTGCGGGGAGTCATCCGAGTTAGAAGCGAACGGGGCTGAGGGTTCCGGGCCTAGTGGGGCAAGTGACGACTCGGGAGATTTTTCGATTGAGGAATGGGCCAAAGCTGAAGCCAAACTGCGTGCAGTAGAGGTTGAGACAGGTTTAACGTTCCTGCAACGGGCCAAACTGAGGAAACAATTGCATGCGGGAGGAATAATCGAGGTTCCGGTGTTTCAGCAGAGATATGGTCCACTGCCCTTCTGGTTAACTGGTGACAATGGAATGGGTTCGCAAGTAGCCTTGGGCTCTTCGGATGGTAGTTGCGAGTTGGTTTTGCTTCTGTGTAGATGGGGAGGGCTGCTGATGTCGTACTTTGGTTCCCCTGCTGCTGAATGGGCTTTTCTGCGTGGGTGCTGCCGGAGCTTACAGCGAAACGTAGCACTGCGTTTGTTGAGCGCTCAAGCAAGAGCTGGTGCTACTCAACTTGCTGCTGCCAGTGGGCCGAGGCCTACTGAAACTGAAGGGTCTCCGCAGCTGTTTGGGCTGACAGGGGCGGTAGACAGCGGAGTGCCGACGGGGTCAGTCGCGATGGAATCGAGAGGTTCTGATGGGGAGCTGGAGGTTCCTGAATCGCCTTCTGTTCTTAGCGAAGATTCCGAAGAAGCAGTAGAGTCGGTGCAGTTGTACCAAGAAGGTTCCGAAGAAGCAGTAGAGACCGTGCAGTTGTACCAAGAAGGTTCCGATGAAGCGATAGGTTCGATTTCGGGGTCCCTAGGTGGTTTAGCTGTTTCATTTGCGAGTGGGGTGGCTGATCAACCTGAGGTTCCCATTGGGCCTAGTGGCAGTGTTGCTTTGTCTGGGAGCGGAACTTCTGGTTCGGTAGCTAGGGTCCAGATTGGGGGGAGTTCAAGCAGTCGCGATGCTTTCCATTATGCTGATGATCGATCAGAGGATGAAGGAGTAGGTAGTGCTCCTAGTCATGGTATGAATGCGGCAGTGCCAGAGCTGTGTTACGAAGACTACGTCGCTCCTGAAGGAGGAAATGTAGAGTTCCCTCTAGTAGGAACTTGGTTGACGGTTCACTATGTCGTACAATTGTTGTCGTATGAGGGGGTTCGATTGCTGGAATTTCTAGGACTTAGGTCTGAGAATTGCCTAGCGTTGAGGGTTGCCTCGGCCTACTTTAGACAAGCGGTAGCATCGGCAGCTGCTGACCTGCTGCGACTGGGTCCGCTGGCGGTAGCCTTTCATGGTCCTCAATGGGTTTTGACGGTTGAGCATTATCTTCTAACTGGGGAGGTTTTAGGTCTTGTCAGGAATTCTGTCGAAGTGCCTTCCTCTTCATCTGGACCGGTTTTTCCGTATGTCTGTTGGGGTTCTCCGAATGTGGTCCATTACCTGTGGAGGGTCCTTGCAAGTCAGGGTCACTTGGTTTTGTCCATGTTGGGAGAAAGAGCACGTGAGTGGGCTTTCGTTAGGGCAACTTCGAGGGATTTCTTCAGCAACATGATCCTTGCGATTATCTTGTGGCTGCAAGCCACTGGCACGAGGCGACAGGCCGATGGGGCCGTGGCGTTTCAAGCTGCATTTGCCTATCTCCAGACTGGAGAAAGGGAGTATCCGTTCCTTGAAAGTGAGGATGAGACCCTGGATGACCATCCCCATACTGCCCCTAGACCTCAAGAAGTAGTGGTGCAACGGTTTGCATACGCAATCGACGATCCCTCATCAGAGGAATTTTCCTCTTCGACAGAGGAACCGTCTATTGTAGATGCTTCTACTGAGTCGTCTAGTGCGGAAGTAGTTGAGGCTGAACCGGCGCCATCAGATACAGTTCCTACGGAGCTGTTGAGTCTCGGTCAGGGGCTTGTGTATCAGGCCGCTGAAGGGGCACTGGAAGTGCATTATGTCGATGATGTTCTGCGAGTGCCTTTAGAAGGGTGGTCTCTAGAGGAGGTTGCGGTTGTGGTTCAGTGCCTTCAGACCGGGGATTGGACGGAGTTTTCTGAAGGGCTCTGCGCTGCGAGTGTGGGTCATGGGATGCCTGGGTCGAGTAACGATCCACCTGGACATGCTCACATTGCGGGTAGGCTTCTAAGGGGTTTCCGAAGTGGGCTTGAAGGACTTCGAGGGTTTCTTTGGAGCTTGATCGTGATGTGGTTCCTTGTGCAAAGTGTCAGGGGATACGAGATAGGGGATTCGTCTTCTGTTGAAGGGGATTTTCCTCTTGTGTGGTGTGGTAGCGACCCTAGTTCCTGTTCCCCCACTGGACCCCAAGAAGTTGCTCTGCTGAAGGGGTTAGGGTCGAATAGGTGCGACGGTTCCACTCTATGGGAGCTAGCTAAGGCAGTTTGTCTGATAGGGATCTGGGAAGCTGTACGTTGGATCGTCTCCAACTGGAGAACTCTCCAACATGGCCGGGTAGAGGTAGCCTCTCAAACCCAGGATTTTAATGTGATCCAGCTGCCCCTTCCAAAGGGCGTCCCACATCGGGACCGGATCCTTTTCTCCCTGTGGATTGCGGGATACCAAGTAGATGCCGAGGCCTGTGAGTACTCTGACAGAGTTCGAAGTGGGTTCCACGGGCTCATTGGGGATTACCTCTGTAGGCTTGAGCGTGAAGGGCTTGGGTTTTCAGACGAGGACTCTTCGTCAGAGACTCCGGAGAGCGAGCACATCGACCGGTAGACGCGCAACCGGTTAGCAGATAGGTAGTCTTGCGGAGATTGAAGGAGTACCCATGGCTCTCCAGTATTGAAATACTGGGCTTTTACAAACTGGCGTCTTAAGCTTGCCGGCTAGAGCTTGGGGATGACTTTGGTTTCCGGTGTTAATAGGAACATTTGGGACGCTAGGGACATGCTGGAATAGTTCTCCGAAGGAGATGCTTCGCTGATGCGAAGGTTCGGAATGTTGTCCCAAAGATGCTTTTGTCCCTCAGCGCTGTTGGTGCTGACCTGTAGGAACAGACGGGCGCAGCTTCACGAAGTGACTTTTCCTTTTAGAGCCCCGATCGCTCATTTCTTGGCGAATTGAGCGAGGGGGAGTGCGTGAAGTGTGCCCAGGTACAGCAGAGACAGGTTGTGCGACCGACGAGGCTGCTTTTGCTTGAAAGTGGCTAGGTGTGCTTATCTCGACATTCTTTAGGCTTTCTAAGGTCTTTATCTTCACATACTAAACCCTAAACCCAGCCGCGAGTCGCTTCGCCCAAACTCCCCGAGTCATAGTCTCAGGTGTAAGGTTCGGGTCTCAGTTTCAAAGGGGAAAAGGAGGGACCCTTAATGGGGACCCTTACCCTAAAATGGGCTATATAATGGGTATATACTGGCTATATTATGGGTATATTACCTAGGGGTCCGTATTAAGGGTCCCTCCTGTTACCCTTGGACAGTTTACTACAGATCCAAGATTACTTGCAGCAGTACAGTAGCTCGAGTACTTCTTTAATGGAGCGGTTCTCATAATTCCATTAAGACTCTTTGCCATTAACTCTACGGGTGGTATCAGTCTCCGGTCATTCGCCATGCTGGCAAAAAAGCGCTTATTTGCCGGAGAAATAGCATCGTGCTGCACCCGCAAGTTGTTTTTTCGGGTGCAGTAATGAGCACCTACTTCAACCTGGCTTGCCCCAACCTGTGGCCAGAGCTCGGAATGTCTAAACCCTGAGCCCTTTAAGCCCTTGGCGTTGTAACCCTCAACCTCTACACCCTAAAACCATCCTAATTCCGACGCCCTGAAGGCCCAGGCCAACGTGGACCAACCGGACACCTGTTGTGAACAACAGGGTTTCTGACAGGGTTCTATAGGGGCTGCGCTTGAGCTCGACGTTTTGGGGACTTGTGATTTCGGGCTACAGTAGCAGCCCAAGAGTTGGAAACCCCATAGCCTCAATCCTTAAGAGTCATGTATAGGGAATCCCAGCACTATTTGGCCTTTATCCGGTTTCCAACTTTATGGAGTTTACTATAGTATTTCCGCTGGATTTGTTTTCAGGATTCGGTCGGGCACTCAGAAGGGAGTTTTGCCCAAAAGACCCGGACTAGTAAGATCCTGCGGAACAAAGATCGCTAAACACAAACGAGGTCACGACCATCGTGAAACCCACAATAATGGCCGGGTGACCGGCTACTAAGCGACTGTTCCCTCGCGCAGGATGCCAAGGGCGATACACCTCTGCACAAAGCCGTCTCACTGTGCCAGGCATGGCAGGATTCATGTCTGTTCTCCTTTGTGTTTATGACATGTTCAGGGCGACGACGCTTTGGTTCATTTGCCCACAAGGTGGTGATGCCGATATCATTGTACGTGCCACTCTTTTTGCGTTAGGCCCTCCGAAGCCCCACCACCCTAAGCCTGAACCTCTAAACCCTTATAGAGAATCCTTGTCAAACCCTAAACCCTAAACCCTAAACCCTAAACCCTACCTGAAGGAACCCTCCAAGGAACCTTTGAAAGAACCCTAAAGTCAAAGCAGGGCCACACAGGACATTTCGGAAGCTAATGCAGACCCTACACGGACTGGTAGATGATATTCGGTATCCTTTAGAAGCTGCCCCCACCCTGTAATAGTGGTATAACAGGAATGTAATAGGGCCCCAATATAATCCTTATTGTCACTATTACAGGGTGGCGGCCCCTTCTAAGGTATCCTAATTTGAAGACCTTAAGATGGCAAGTTCTTTTAGTTAGGAGGTCTGCATTCAGGTTTCGCGCTTGCAAGCATCAGCACTCGTAGCGTGATTGGTGATGGTTTCAATGGGTTTCTTGTTGCAGGTTTGCGGTTGCGAGGTTTAGGAGTTTGGACTTGATTGTGCAATGCGGTGCGGATACGGTTCAGGGGCCATTTAGGGCCTGATTTTGTGAGGAAATTGGGTCGGACAACTACCACGAATTTACAGAAAGCATTATCGGCAATTGTGCTTGCACTAATTACGGCATTATCAAAAATCTGTCCAGAATGTTAAGCATTACAAGTCCTCATGCCTTTACACATGCTCTTATAGAACCCTTCAAAGGGAACACTTCAAGGAATCTTACTATCATTCTTAAAGCCCATAAGTCGTCATAAAGTTGTCTACAAACCCCCAGGTGGCAATGGTCGAGGAACTTCTGCGGGCTCGGGCCAATGTGCGCCTCTGACCTTTCCAGAGCCGGTGTTAGGGTTGTTTAGGTTTTAGAAGGTTGAAGAATTGCTAGTCAACATAATTCCTTCGGTTCCTGTTGTGTATGTATATGATTGTTCTACTACCATGGACCCAGCACCCTATTCTAATGATTGAGGTCCTGATACTGTCCGTCTTGTTCAAGTTAAGTATCTGCAAGGTTTGCGTTTGTTTATCCCTCAACCCTAAAGCCTTTTGGGTTTACAGATGGTTTACAGGATCTGCAGGGTTTGCTTTCGGTCGAGAGTTTCAGAGGTTGATACGAAGGATGCACCTCCCCGTACGACACTACGTGTGCTTTCATGAGCAAGACATGGACGCTTGAACAATTTTGCATGTTTTGCCGTGCGAGGCTTCATAGGGGCTTCCGTGGGGTTTAGAATAGTTGATTCTAGATTGGGCTGAGATCGAATATACTTCCCCCATCCCTAAACCCTAAACCCTAAAATATTTTGAGCCCAAGCATTAAGGCCCGTGCTACATCGAGAGGGCGATCCGGTGATGATGGTGTATGCATACCGAAACTCCTGCTAGAATCATGTGTAAGTCTTCTGTATATACATACTGATATGATATGCATATACTCACGTAAGCACAAACACGAATACATACACATATATATGTATATATGTATATATGTATATATATATGTATATATGTATATATGTATACATATCTATATTTATATACCCATATGTCTGTCTGTATGTTTGCATGTATGCATGCATGGATGTATGGATGTATATAAATATACATAAAAATAAATATGAATATATATATATATATGCATGTTCGTGTATGTGATTTCTATTTGCTATAATGTATTTATATGTACGCGCACATCCCATCAGGGTCGTGCGAAGCTTGAGGAGCTTTAGTTCAAGAATGGTAACATCATAGTATAGGGGCTGTCTTCCTGTAGAGTCTCCCTTCCGAGTATGCCACCACACCCTGGTCTGGTTGTCAGAACCCTCCTGCGCCTTCGTGTTGAATTCATCAAAGCATCCTCCCTCACACCCAATCCCTGAGAAGTTGCAGCAACAAATGCGGAATACATCGAACCCCATACCAAAGCCTCCAACTTCAAGGCTCAATAACTTACACAGACAACCCCCCCAAACCCCCCCGAGCTCCCCATCCGCAACCTGTAACCTAAGCGCTTATTCAGAAAAACCTCACAGAGAAAACGGCAGACCCTTGAGCATTATAGCCAAAACCCAAAACCCTAAACACTTGTCATTCATTAAACCCGAAAGAGAAGACAACCGACAATAAAGCCGTATAGCCAAAACCCGAGACCCTAAATCCTAAACTCCCATCTGCATGTCACCAGGAACCGCACCAATCGGCGAGATCAGATTTTCGGCTTTGTTTGTCGGGGGCTTCTTGGAAGGTTTCCACATCGGCTGCGATCCACTAGTCCATGCGGGGGCCTTAATATTTACCAATACCATTATGGGGAAACCTTGTGGTAAGTATGGTGTAAAAATACCCCCAAACCCGATTCAAATTACTAAGGCCCCTATGTTAAGCTGGCCAAGGCGAGCCAGATCCTAGAGTTCAGTTATGTCGGTGCCTGAATGAATGGCAGTATATTCCCAGTGTCCCTCAAAGTATGAATCGTATCAACACCCCTCCCTCCGCCAAAAACTAGTCTGATTGTTATGGCCCCCGAACGGTGGGATTTTCCAGCGCTTTCAACCAAATGCGTCTAAATCTTCTGGCAACACTACGAAGAATTGTCAGACAAGTTTGAAGGTTATCTGAAAAGAATAATTGAAAAGATCTACCTTAATTTCTTAGCCACCAGCTTAGGGTTGGGTTTTGATGAGTTGGAGCCAAAAGTACTTGTCCGCCACATTGTGGGGGCTTGAGAGGGTTTGACGACTTTTTCGGCTGCATGAGGTTTTATGGGATGTTTGTACAGTAGAAGCCCAAGAGTTGGAAACCCCATAGCCTCGATCCTCAAGAGTAATGTATAGGGAATCCCAGCACTGTTTGGCCTTAATCCGGTTTCCAACTTTATGGGGTTTACTGTAAGGGTTCCCAAAGATTCCTGGGCTCAGCGTAGTTTTCTTGGACCCTACTCAACCCCTGGGGCCTCCTTCAGAAAGGACCCCCCTGGATGCTGCGATCGTGGTCGCCGGCACTCATGCAGCACAGGTGGTGCGGATACTGGCCCCCGGACGGAAGACTCCTCAAGGGTTCCTTTAAGGGGTTCCCTTTCAGGGTTCCTTCTAGGGTCCATGTATTCATCTGGCAGATACTTTGGCCCTATATCGGGGCTACTTTACCCAGAGGCCCCAAAGTAGGTCCTTTTTGGGGTTCATATTTAGATTTCTATAAGGTAATTCCAAAAAGGAACTGCTATGGGGCCTATGGGTAGGGCCAAAGTATATACTATAAAGGTGCATGGCCCCTTACGAACCGATTTGCACTAATGCTACGGAGCAGCATTTCAACAAGAGTGTTGTGTGGCTTACGGCTCAGGGATCAGAGTTTGGGGGTGAGGGGGACGGTTCCGAAAAACAGGAAGCAGGACAACAGGCCACGGGACATATCGTTCAGAATCTCAACATGTGAAGGGACTCTTCTTTCTCAACCCACTCAGGTATTGTCAGTAGCATCCCAGTAGAGCAGGGGGTATGCAGTATTCTATTTCTTCCAACACTTCGCACTGCACCGATGAACAACACTCCCGACAGAGGCTTTCGGCCTACGGAACAATGAACCATGGTGTCGTAATGGCCCTATCCCATACCTTCAGCCCGACATCTTGAACCCCGTACCCGCACGGCCCCGCACAACCGCGAGCCCGAAACTCCGAACCTTGAACTGTAAGCCCAAGAAAATCAGATCTAAAGCAACCCGTAAACCAAAAGACAGAAATTGGAAAGGGCCCTATGCAACCTCCTACAGTAGCCCTCATGCTCACCTCTGTGTGAGGTCCGGGGCGGAGGCGACAAGGATCGAATGAATGGTTCTGGCGATACCCCGCTGATCGCAGCGATCCGCCACAAGTCCCTCGCTCCCCTGTGCCTCAGATTTCTGATTGCAGGATCATGGGACTTTATGTAAGCAAGGTTTTAGTACCTTGCATTATGACGACACGTCTAGTTGCCTTCTCTAAAACCCTAGTCACTTAACCCCTCAAGTGGGCATTGCTCAGATCCTATCCATTTCGACGTTTCCCTTTGCCCAGGTGCGCCCTTATCGATTGCAGTGCCGACTTAGAAAAAACTGATCGGGACGGCGCGACGCCTCTTTATGCAGCAGCCGCTGGGGCGTTTCAGAGCTCTCGGGTTGAAGTTCGTCCCAGCAGACCATGCCGACGTTCGGTTTTGTGGGACTTATCGTTCACTTCAGGACACAGGATTTAGGGTCATCAAATCCCTCCTACCACAACACCCAAAAAGTCCACCAAGTGCCTTCTGGTGCCTCAAGCTCCAGGCTCTCAACTCCAAAGTCTTTGTACAACCTTGGTAGCCCATTATGTATGCGTATAAAATTAAACATATAAGTGTGTATATATATATATATATATATGTAGCCATTTGTACAAAGGAACTCCGCATAGCCCCTAAACGCCCCAAACGGCTAAACGAGGCTGTGCCCACTTCCCCAAACAGGAAGAAAAGGCCAGCTTTGAAAAAGTCTGAGGACCTTCATGCTTTGGGTACCACGGGTAGTCTGTAAACCCCTGGCTTCACCAAAGGCCCGCGACTGCTGGCTATAGAGTACCCGCGATTAAGGGATTAAGGATCACAAGGGCTCGACAAGAAGGTACTTAGCCGTGTCCCGGTAGCCCTGAAGTCCAAGTCTTCCCCATGGTTCCAAATGGCAAACCCTTCGGGAACCCTTCAGAGCCTTCCGAGAACTTCTTCACCCCCCAGGTGCCCTTTAATAGAGCCCTTATTGGGGCGGGGGGGGAGATCCTTCATAGTGGGTTCATAGGATACACTTGAGAGGGTAGTTGTCTATGTTGGATAGAAATTTGAAGCCCTTTTAAACCCTCTTGGCCCAAAACAGAAATATAGGGGCGGTGAAAATTACCAATACCGTTTTGGTGGTGCCTTATTATGATTATCGTATGAAATACACCAAAACCCTGTTCAGTTATTTTTCGTGAACCTTACTAACCTTCTTGAGCTTTTCTCCAGGCCTGGGTGGGCTTCTCCGGCGCTTTGACACTCCTGGCCGGTGCAGTGGAGGCGGGCGGAAAAATTGCCGATCATCATTCCTTAGGGTTTCTTAATATAGCTATGCTACACAATGGCACAAAAATCCTGATTGAATGATTAGGGCCAAGATCTTGAAGTTTTCGGATTTCGGATTGCTATGAGCTTTTCGAAGTTACGATCTCTGTTTCAAAATCGTGGCTCGTTGGTTCTCGGCTTCGACAGGTTATCGATTTTTGTGAGGATTCATGCAGGCTGATGAAGGCTTGGCTTGAATTGAAGAGGCTACTAGTGGTTTTTTAGGGATTCACGGCTTGAGGGGATTAACGTTTTCTGGTGTCTTTATGCTTCCTGTCGCTACCCCAAGGATCATGGGATGCGGCCAGCAGGGTTTGAGGTAGTGTTGGATGTGTTGTAAATGGGGGTGCCAACTTACAACTCTACCCACTTACTACTTACCCGGGTCCGATACCGAACATGTGTGTATGCACCTGTGTGTGGATATAAACAAACCCATCACACCGTTCCAAAATCCGCCCGAACGTACATGACTACGACAATCAAGAAATACATATTCACACATATATATATATATATATATATATTTGTGTATGTATCTAGTATAATTATACACACAGGGGAGAGAGGTAGAAAGCCAGCGAGCGAGCAAGAGAGACACAGACTCACAGAGATAGAGTCCAAACTCGTTCGGGCAGCCAAGGTAGACAAGGTCAATGACTGCGGAGACACGGCGCTTCACGCTGCTGCCTGGCAAGGGCATGTAGATGCTGTGGAGCAGCTTGTGGTGGCCCGTGCCATCATCAGCGCCCCGTCATAATCGATCTTGGAGTTTCCAAGAAATGGGGGACCAAAGCTAGAGCCAGAATTGTAGTCGGGTAGGCCCCCTTAATTTTCGGATTCAGAGAGTTACACGTTTCAAAATAAGGGTCACTGCCACGACTGGGGCGTGTACGTGTACCAACAGTACCTACCTTGGAGATCGGTTTTGGTACTCTCTCTTTGTGTGGGTGTGTGCATGCATATATATATATATATAATTAAATACAAGACTAATTACATACACACACACACCTTTGTTATGTGTTTTCATCTTATTTGACAAAGCCCTTACTACTGCTCCTGACTCATAGTGGGCCGGGTAAGTCTGGAAACGGTAGCGTGCAATTTGAAGTCTTCCGGGGTAGTATGGGGAGTTTCCGAAAACAGGGACCCTGATATAGTACCCGAAATAGTAGGATCCTTATTATACGGACCCTAAAGTAAGGTACCCAAATTTTCGGAAACTCCCATATAGGAAGGCGCCTTCATGATTACCCATACTACTGTTGATGATATAAATCCTGCACTACCTTAAGGGCCCTAGACTATGGGATTTTTGGTATATTCCTTATTATGGGTAGTGCAGGATTTATATCATCAACCGTATTTTGGGGGCTCCTTATTACAACTATAGTATAGTATACCCCAAAACCCTATTCTAATTTTTATAAGGCCCCTGTATCAAGCTCGTCGCCCAAGCCAAAGGCAAGGCCAACGCTGACGGAGACGCGCCACTGCATGTTGCAGCCCAGCGTGGCCATGTGAAGGTGGTGCGCCTCGGTCATGAACGCCTCGAAGCCGTCGTCTCAACATATCATGCCTAGACCCGCAACCAACCTACGTTGTCCAGGACTTATAAGAAAATCAGAATAAGGACCCGGAGAAGGTAAATTTTTGCTGGTGCAGGTGAGGATTTCTATCATTCCGAAGTCAAGCATAGGCTTTAGGGAATAGCGCCAAGTTCATTATTCGTGCGGCTGCTGCTGCAGGTTTCGGATTTGTGGTGGGGCATTAGGGTTTAGGGTTTCGTTGTTTCGCAGTTACGGGTATGCCGGCATACCTGTCCGATATCGCAACAACCGACAGCGGCATGGTCGAGAACGGCCGGAAGTGGAGAAGCTCGATAAGCACAGCACCGCGACGTTCAAACTCCGAGTGAAGCCCCTCCAGAAGCCTCTTGGAAAGCCCCTACCAAGCTTACAAAGCCCCCTAAGCCCTACACCCTAAGCCCTATTTAAATCCTCAGCCCGAAACCCGAGACCCCGAAACCCTAAACCTTTCACCGTCAGCTTCTCAGGCATTTCCTCATCGATCAGCAAGCGGACTTGGCCCAGCGCAATCTGGAGGGTGCTACTGCCTTGGACCCTCGGCTCCGTGTTTGTCCACTTTTTTGGGCTGCTAAGCTTAGGGTTCAGGGTTTAGGGGTTTCCGCTTGTTCGGGCTCCCAGGACCTAGAGTAGGCCCTTATTCCCTTCTTTTGGGTTCAGGTTCCCTTATAGTTAACCCTCTAAACCAAAAAGGGCACCCTTTTTCTTCCTAGGTTACTCTTGGGTCCAGTCCCCTACTTAGCTAAACTTTATTAACCGTTTGGGACGTATTATAGTACCTAGACAATCCCAAAGATTAACCATCAGTTCCCCCAGGATACTGGACAACTAGGCAACACGGGGCTTAGATTCGGGAGTAAGGTTTTGTGTGGTTATCCTTGAAACAGCTTGGGGGTAAATGGTTTCATAAGGGTGGATCTCCGATACCGCACTATTGTTTTCCCAGATCCCTACCACAACCCTAGCCCAGAACCCAGCCTAAAACCGACCCTAAACCCGAAACCTTAAATGCCCTAAAGCCACCCGGAACACACCAAGCCCTGAAACCCTCAACCCTGAAATCCCGATCTCTACACCCGAAAACAATATCGGGGCATTCCAAAACCACCCTAAACCCCTAAACCCAAATCCTCAACCCTCACCCCGAAACCCTAAACCCTATGCCAGGATCTGGCTGCTGCAAATGGACATACCCTCACGGTGAAGCTGTTGGAGGCTCTCCCCACCGGCTCATAGGATACACCCAAAGGCTCCCTGTGCCCTTTTATTACGAACTGAGGCCTTGGTTTAGGGTTTAGGTTACTTGGAGGTTCATGGGTAGTTATAATAAGTGTGGTCATAAGTGCCCTCATAAGGGTTGTAAGTATAGATACCTTACTTATAACCCCACTTGTAATGAGCCATGAACCTCCAAGTAGGGTTTAGGGGTTCAGCTGCCCATATACTACATACTTAGGCATAGTCCTTATAAGGATGTATTGTAAAGCCTATGGACACGGGGAGCCTTTGAGAAAGCTAGCTAATGCCAGGAGAATAATAGCGGGGCCTAAACTGGCTTAAGCAGCCACCTATACTGTTTTGGGTCCAAAAACCCTATTCTTAGTTATTATGGCCCCTATACCTTGCACAATCTATATACGGCTTATCATCGGAGCCTTAAAGGGCTCCTCGTAAGGTTCTAATTACAAGGCAGAGGTTTAGTGGGTTTACAGCAAACTGAATGAATAGAACAGAGTGGTCCAGACAAAATCAAACCAGGTGCCCGAGTATCAGTAATTCAGGCCTCTAATTTACACTGGGCGCCGACACTTTTGGTTGCAGAGCTTATATCAAGCTGCCGAATGAGTTTGGCGCTAAACCACAAATCCGAAACCCTCAATGTCAAACTTGAGCACCAAACGCATACTAAGGTTTGTCGAAAATCAACTTGGACCTTGGAAGGTGAAAGTCAAGCCTAAGTCGTGCAGTTCCTTGAGGGCTTCATTTAAGGCTGCCTTGTGCGTCCGTGTTGCAAATCAGAAGCTGAACTTGGACCATCACCGAAGTGTCTAGCAGCAAACCCTAAACCCCATGATCCCCCGTGATCCCTCAACGGTCCCTTGAACCCTAGATCCTTAAGCCGGTATGCCCGGATCAAAGCAAGAAAAGTGTCCCTGATGCCAACTGCGCCCCCTCCGAGCCACGTGTATTTTGCTTAGTAGCTGAATAGATGACCTTTAACCCTTTTGAGGTTTATATGATCCTACCATATTTACTTGAAAAGGTTAACCTTATGTGGGCCAGGGTAGCCCCAAAAGCTCCCTCTAAAGCAAGCCCATCAAGCATTCCCTTGGGAAAACGCGCTGCTCTAGGAGGCATGCGGCCCAAGACGACAGCGACGCGTTCCGACAACCTCTGCCCAGAGACGCAAAAAACGACTCGGCAGAGGTCAAAGGCCCTAAGCCGTAAGCTTTTAGAGCTCAGGGAATAGGATTGATAGGGTCTTTCTATGGTTTTCGAAAGGCTTCACCTGGTTTAGGGATGTAGGTTTTATAGACTCATGGAGACTTTCGAGAAGATGAAAGGGCGAGTCGAGGGGACTCTTAGCTCTCCAACTGACGATGGGCCCCTGCGTATACCAGGAGCTGTCAGGGTTCCTATGCCGATGGTTAGTTCTAGGGTTTAGGGTTTACAGTTTATAAGGCTTAGCCTAAGGCCTAAATCGCTTTGGATTTAGAGTTTAGGGTTTAATGTTTACGCCCCTTCGGATCCGTATGAGTATCAGGCAGAGTCTAGTACGAATGAATGCAAAACACCTGAACTTGGCAATCTTTGGCCGTTGCATTTCTAGCAGTCTGGCACCCCCTCTTCATATCGCATAAAGAAGAGTTTCTAGTCCGCATGTAGAGGTTTACGAAATATATACACCAATATAAGTATGCATTGCTATTCTATTTGGCATGGCAGCTGTACTTGAAAGACCTACACAACCCTCGTCTAAGCCATGAACCCCTAAAGAGTCCGGATTCTTAATTTTCATATACTCTCCCAAAATCTCGCCTGCGTAATTATTTCCAGCCCCAGTACCTACTCATTGGGTCTGTAGCGCCCTCAAACAAGAAACAAGTTTTCTTGCACCTTCGTCTCCACAAAGCATCACAGGCTGAGAGACACGGCTTAGGGTTTAGGCTCTCTGCCCATGTACATAGAAACCCTGCGGGTCCAAGTGCCCAGATGGCTTATACCTAGACCCTGAGGGGGTCCGGAAGCCTTCCTATATGAATCCTTACCCAGAGGCCCCACAGTAGTTCCTTTTTGGGAGTACCTTATAGGATTCTATATACGAACCCCAAAAAGGAACTACTTTGGGGCCTTTGGGTAGAGCCTTCAACCTAAAGCTTATACCCTGCACCGGAACCTGAAATGCCGAAACCCGACTTCGAAGTCCTAGGGTGTGTCCCAAAGGTCCCCAGTAGGCTCTGGAGTACTTGGACCTTTAGGGGAGAGCTTTGACCCTGCCGTGCTGCCGCAAGGAGGTAAAGAGGCGAAACGGAGCGATCGCACGAACCCAGACCGTCAAAAACCACGTAATTAAGGAATCTGCTGTTAAACTGTAGTAGGCTCTAATATGAGTTAAAGTATATTCCTTAGTAAGGGATGGTTTAGGGTTTAGGGTCCCGTTTAGGGTTTAGTAATGTTAGGTTTCGTGTTTCTGGTTAAGGGGTTAAATGGTTTGGAGTTAAGAGATGACTGGTTGTTGTAGCAGCCCTTGGTGTAGATCGACAGCGAGAGGGGCCAACATGCAGCGCACATGGAAAGTTCTTCTTCTGGGGCACAGAGCTGCCGACGTATCTTATGGAGAATGAATCGATTGAGAGCCTATGTTACAAAATTATGTCCCCAGGTGGGCTTCCAATCTAGTTACCATGATAAGAAGGAGCCCCACCATCAGGAGTCCCAACATACCTTTGGGGGTACTTTGGATCTTTTTCAACTGGGGCAGTATAAGCCATACCAAGGCCCCACAAACCCAAACTGCAGAGAAGCCCTAGAGAAACCCTGCCAAAGACTTGATACCACATAGAGTTTGCAATTTACCAAACTGAACCGTAGCCTGAATGCACTCCAGCACCACTCAAAACCAGGTAGAAACCGCATGAAAAACCTACACACCCATGAAACTGTCAAGCCA